ACATTTTGTCTTTGACCATGGGATCAAAGGCAAATGTGCTAGGCCCAAGTGAAGCTTTGCTTGTGGTACCGTTAACTACAACTACCAAAAACAAAAACAAAAACGGTCTCAAACCCTTAAGAAGGTTGTCACGCCATCCATCATCGGGAAAAGTCACCTAGTTCACACAATACTCCACCTTTGGAAAGAACTGTGGCATTAAGAAAACCAAAGGTTTATTGAAAGCACCAAAAACGAAACAAACTACGAACATAAATAAAAAGCTAAAAATGAAAAATTTTGCGAAAATAGAAAGAATATATACAATAGGGGATTTGAATATATAACGGGGAATGAATATATACAATGATGTAACATTATATACAGACCAAATGAAAGATAAAAAAGTGTGATAAAAATAACTAAGTGTAAGATTATATACGGACCAAATGAAAATCAAGAAAGCATAAACTAAATCAGTATAAATACAGTCATCCAAAGATAAAGGGAGCACCCCCTCAAATAAAAGTTGGCATTGTCCTCAATGCCAATTAAGTCAAATAAGCACCAAAAATAAAATAGAGGAAGGATATGAAGACTCCCTAAGCCGTGTCTGTCTGTATCGGATCATGGGCGGTCCTTAGGTCCTCTGTATGCTCGGGAACCTCAGACTGGTTCCCGGTATCCTACTGCTCAGCTTCTGGGACCTGGGCCTAGACCTGGACCTGGACAGGCTGTGTATCAGATACATCCTGTGGCTGCCTGGAGGAAGCCTCCGGTGAGTCTGCTAACTGGATGATGGCATCATCTGCGCTCGGGATCATCCTTCTCCTCTTCGGAGGTCACTGTGACTGCTCCGGCTGTGTATTTGCTGCTGGTACTGCTGCTGGAGCTGGGTCCTCAAATAATAAGTCTAAAGGTAGCTGGTCTGCCTTCAGTCTATCCACATCTGCCCGTAGCTCCTTTACGGACTCCCTGGAAGCCCGTGTCTTGCGCAACTTCTTGTGCTCCTTGGCAAACTCCTTTAGAGCCTTGCCATGTGAGGCCACTGCCTTTTCCAAATCAGCCTGGGTACTGAGGATCTGCTCCTGGTTTTCAATTATCTTCTTCAAGGTATCATCTATAGACTGTGGGACCTGTGCTGGCTGAGGGGCCGACTGAGCTACAATGGTGGAGGTCAAGGTAGACAACTTGGATGACGTAGTATACATCCAGTTGTTTAAACTCTGAAGCGTCTGGCTCAGCCGGTGGGAAGTGATAGGATGGTCCCGAGTAGATGGAATCTCTGGGCCCGCTGATGTGGAAGGGCCTAGAGGAATATCTGAAGTGGAGGGTCTGGGAGGCAGGCTCAATGGAGGCCTCTACCACAACTGGCTCTTCAGACTGGCCAGTTGGGGAAGAAGCTGGTGCCTTATAGCTCTTGTCCTTGGGGTTGTCTGGTCCCTTCAGACTATACCATGAGAATGGGGCTGTAGCCTTTGCCTTGATGTCAAACCGCCTCTTTTCTACCTTCAAATCTCTGAAGTACATGGTCAGGTTGTTGGGGAAAAGGTAGTTCCTGTCAGTCTCAGTACCCACAAGAGAGATAATGCGGGACATCACATTCCCCACATTGATGGGGTACCCTTCCATGATGGAAGCAACTAGGACAGCCCGGTGAAGAGGTAGAGTCTGATCATGGGTAGTGGGGTCTAATCGACTGCATACAAACGTCTCCCAACCCCTCACCTCAAAGTTAAGAGTCCTCCGTAGTATCTTTACCCCAACAAACAACCACTCCAGAATTGTACCTGGGATCGCCAGGTACTGAGCTAACCATGGACGGATCTCCTCGCCCATCTCCAGCTTTTCCATATAGAGAGACTAATCTTCCTCATTGAAGCCTAAATATTCATTCAGAGACTTCCCATCGAACAAAAACCTTTTTGTTTCGAACCTTAGTCACTTTGGAGCCCTTGACGATGTGGGACACATTACAGTAAAACTCCTTGACCTAGTGTTCATTTGCCTCCCCGCAGTCATCTATAAAGTGCTCCCACCCCACTCTTGTTCTAAACTGTCTATGCACATCGGGGTTTAGGGGTAGAAGATCTCTATCTACGGAACTCCTCTCCAAAATCATTTTTCGCACCGACCACCACTACCTGAATTTGTGGTATGCTACTTGGCTTACAAACCTATCTTCCCACACTTTGGGTTTTCTAGTACGGGCAATCCCCCTAATTTGAGGCTCACCCCCCTTAGGTACCTCCTCATCTCCCTCATCACCTCCGCCTGCACTCTCCCCAGATAATGAAGCTGTAGGGGAGGTAGAGTACTCGCCACTGCTGGCTACTAAGCCCTCAGACGACTCAGAAGGTATATGCTCTAGAGCTTGGGCAATGGGTGATTGTGGAGGAGAATCATCAGTCAATCCGAAGTTGGAGACGAAGTGAGTTGGAACTGAGTCAGAGGAGATGTCTTGGGAAGGCAAGTACTCACTCCCCGATTGATCACAAGCCCTGTCAGTTGCCTTGATTGCTTCCCTCATGTTCTTAATGTTTTTTCTAGCCTGGGGAGTGAGTTTTACCAACCTTTGCTTCCCTCCCCGGGAGGAATCACCTCGGCCAGGTCGTTTTGAGCCTTTACCCTATTGTTTAACCATTTATCTACAAACACAGCATCTAACGTTGTTAGTGTCAGCAGAGATAGTGAGACATTAGTACAATAAGAATTGCATAACAGAAACAGACAGTTGCAGACACAGTTGCAGAGCAGTCCAATACGGACCGCACAAAAAGAAGTGCGGCCGCACTGGGGCCAGTGCGGACCGCACAAAGTAGTACCTCGGCCGCGGTGGGCCAGTGCGGACCGCACAAAATGCAGTGCGGACGCACTGGGCTTAAGGTCACCTTGCATAAGTTCAATACCACGGTCCACGCAAAGTGGTACTGCGGACCGCACTAAGGCACCGCGGACCGCACAAAATTGACTGTGGTCTGTGAAGGGTGCCCAGATATGGAACTGAGTTAGGGTTCCTAATTTTTGATTTATTCGTTCAAATTCACCTAATTAACGTCCCTACTCAATTACCCAATTCATTATACTCATCAAGCACCCAAAAATTAACATTTAAACTAACTAACCTAAAACTGAAGAAATACGGGAGGAGAAAAACTACCAGCTAATAGAAATGAAATTAAACATTTAAACTAAGAAGAGTTGGGTAAAATGTTACCAGATATTAAGCATGAAAGAACTAACACAAAGCAAACGAGTAATTACAAGCAAGGAAGAAGGATGAACAGTGATTAGTCTCTTTTGAGTGTAAAATTTGCGAAAAGTGTAAACAGGAGTCCCTGAGGTCTATTTATAGAACAGCCACTGGGGACCCATACTGACCTACCAGCGAGGCCGCACAAAATGGACCGTGGCCCGCGCTGGGTTTGTTTAGAAGAAGTTTGAGAAGGCAACCTCTACTGTCCGCACAAAACAGACCGTGACCGCAAAGGTCCACCGCGGTCCGCACAAAATGCAGTGTGGCCGCAATGGCAAACTTCTGACAGTCCTCACATTGGTCACACCAGTGCGGCCGCACTGGCAACTTCAGAGACTTGTTCAATTTTTCCATCATGTTTTGCACTGCATCAATACAATCCTTGCACATCTCACAACCAATTAGCACAAAAATCAATCCTACACTACAAAGAAAATCAAAGAAAACAAGAAGAAAAAGACATGGGTTGCCTCCCAAGAAGCGTCTAATTTAACGTCGTGGCACGACGCCTGTTACCATCACATCATTTGAAATGAAGGAGCACCACCACATGGCTGTCATCAAACTTTCCAAGATAATGCTTGACTCGGTGCCCATTAACTCTGAAGACTTCACCATTTTTGTTTTTCAAATCAAGAGCACCAAAAGGGGTCACAAACACAACTTCAAACGGTCCACTCCATTTAGATTTGAGCTTTCCCGGAAACAGACATAACCGGTAGTTGAACAAGAGAACCAAATCACCTACATTGAACTCCTTTCCATGAGCATATTTGTCATGAAAGTACTTCATCTTGTCCTTATACAAGGACGAGCTGGAGTAGGCATGGAATCTAAATTCATTGAGTTCTTTGAGTTGTTCAACACGAAGATTAGTTGCAACATCCCATTAAAGATTCAACTTTCTCAAAGCCCATATGTCCTTGTTATCTAACTCAACCGGAAGATGGCATGCTTTCCCAAACACCAATCGATATGGAGACATCCCAATTGGAGTTTTGTAAGTCGTCCGATAAGCCCATAGAGCGTCATCCAACTTCTTCGACCAATCGGTCCTATTTGCATTGACCGTCTTTGACAAGATACTTTTGATTTCTCTGTTGGAGACTTCCACTTGGCCACTAGCTTGAGGATGATAAGGAGTTGAAACCTTATGATTGACACCATAATTGGAAAGCAATGTGTCGAAAGCTTTATTGCAAAAGTGAGATCTCCCATCACTAATAATCGCACGAGGAGTGTCAAACCTTGTGAAGATGCTCTTTTTAAGAAATGCAACAACACTCCGGGTTTCATTATTAGGCAAAACCACGAATTCAACCCATTTTGAGACATAGTCAACTGCCACGAGAATGTAAGTATTCCCACAAGAGCTAACAAATGGACCCATAAAATCGATGCCCCAAACATCAAAGATATCCACTTCAAGAATGGTGTTGAGAGGCATCTCATCCCTTTTTGAAATTCCGCCCGCTCTTTGGCAATCGTCACACCTCTTCACAAAATCGCCCGCATCTTTGAACAAGTGGGCCAATAGAATCCACAACTAAGGACTTTCAAGGCGGTCCTCACCCCACCATGATGGCCACCATAGGGTGAAGAATGACAAGCCTATAAGATACTAAAGTGTTCTTCCTCCGGGACACATCTACAAATCACACCATCCGTGCAAATCTTGAATAAGTATGACTCATCCCAATAAATATCCAAGCTATCCTGCTTGAGCTTCTTCCTTTGGTTAGAAGTGAGCTCATACGGGATTATTCCGATCACAAGGTAATTGGCAACATCGGCAAACCATGGCATATCATTCATTGATACCGCAAGTAGTTGTTCGTCGGGAAATGAATCATTTATCTCAAGGCCATAACAAGGCCTCCCCTCCTCCTCCAAACGGGACAAGTGGTCCGCCACTTGATTCTCACTACCTTTCCGGTCCACAATTTCTAGAACAAACTCTTGGAGTAGTAACACCCATCTCATCAATCTTGCCTTGTAGTCTTTCTTTATCATCAAGTACCTAAGGGCGGCATGATCAGTGTGCACTATAACTTTAGCCCCCATAAGATATGGTCGAAACTTTTCCATTGTAAACACTATAGCCAACAACTCTTTCTCGGTGATTGTATAGTTCCTTTGAGCCTCATTCATGGTCTTGCTTACGTAGTACACCGGATGAAACATCTTGTTGATCCTTTGGCCCAAAATAGCCCCAACCACAATATCACTAGCATCACACATGAGCTCGAAAGGCAAGCTCCAATTTGGTGCGGTAATGATCGGGGTAGTGGTCAACTTAAGCTTGAGAAGCTCGAAAGCTTGCATACATCCCTCATTCAAGGGGTGTACCACTTTTGAAAAATCTATTATAAACCTCTGGTAAAAACCCACGTGCCCAAGAAAACTCCTCACCCCTTTGACAGAAATGGGGGGAGTAAGCCTTGAAATCACCTCTATCTTGGCTTTATCAACTTCAATCCCTTGTTTTGAAATTTTGTGACCCAACACTATACCCTCTTCAACCATAAAATGACATTTTTCCCAATTGAGTACGAGGTTTGTGTCTTCACACCGGGCCAACACTCTATCCAAATTACCCAAACACTCTTCAAAGGAATCACCAACCACACTGAAATCATCCATGAAGACATCCAATATATCTTCCACCATGTCGGTGAAAATAGCCAGCATGCATCTTTGGAATGTCGCCGGAGCATTACATAATCTGAACGGCATCCGAGAGAAAGCGAAGGTTCCATATGGGCAAGTAAAAGTGGTCTTCTCTTGGTCCTCCGGGGCAATTAAGATTTGATTATACCCCGAGTAACCATCCAAAAAGCAATAAAAAGCACGTCCCGCGAGACGATCAAGCATTTGGTCAAGGAATAGCAATGGAAAATGGTCCTTTCGGGTCACCTTGTTTAGCTTCCGGTAGTCCATGCAAACCCTCCAACCTGTGATTGTCCGAGTAAGAATAAGTTCATTGTTGTCATTGGTCACCACAGTTATACCACCCTTCTTCGGTACACATTTCACCGGAGAAGTCCATGAGCTATCAGAAATGGGGTACACAACCCTGACATCCAACCATTTGATCACTTCTTTCTTCACCACTTCTTGCATCGCCTCGTTCAATCTTCTTTGATGCTCCGAGGAAGGCTTTGCATCATCCTCCAAGATAATTTTATGCATACAAAATGTGGGGCTTATTCCCTGAATGTCAGCTAGTGTCCATCCAATTGTCCTTTTCCGCTTTTGAAGAACCGCCAAAGTGGCCTCAACCTGCATGTTAGTAAGGCAAGAAGAAATAATAACTGGTAAAGTAGAATTTGATCCTAAGAATTCATACCTGAGGTGTGGAGGAAGTGGTTTCAACTCCAACACCGGTGGCTCCTCAATTGATGGCTTTGTTGGTGGAGTTTTTCGATTTTCAAGATCCAAAGATAATTTCCTCGGCTCATAAGAATAAGAACCCATCCCATGTAGGGCATTCACGCACTCCACTCTACTAGCATCATCATTGACATCCATGTTTAAGAGCACTGCTTCAAGAGGATCCTCCACATTGATCATAGCACTGATATCATCCACAATCACAGTTGTGACAAGGTCTACAAATGAGCACACCTCGGTGCTATTGGGTTGCTTTATAGATTTGAAAACGTGGAAAACGACCTTTTCATCTCCCACTCGGAAAGTGAGCTCACCCGCTTCAACATTAACCAATGCTTTCCCCATTTCAAGGAAATGTCTGCCTAAGATAATAGGAACCTCATAGTCCACTTCACAATCCAAAATCATAAAGTTGCCCAGCAATATGAATTTATCTACCTGGACAAGCACGTCATCAATAATGCCCAAAGGTCACTTCATCGATCGATCCACCATTTGAAGTCTCATTGAGGTTGGCCTAGGTTGCCCGAAGACCGAGTAGGGCAGTAAATTGATACTAGCTCCCAAGTCACAAAGAGCCTTGGCAAAATCCGCACTCCCAATAGAGCAAGGAATGGTGAAAGCACCGGAATCTTCAAGCTTCGGGGCCATTGAATGCACTATAGCACTAACTTGGTGAGTCATCTTTATAGTTTCATAATCCATAGAACGCTTCTTTGTGACCAAGTCTTTCATGAATTTTGCATAGCCCGACATTTGTTCAAGTGCCTCCACCAATGGCACATTAATAGATAAGCTCTTCATCATATCAATGAACTTTTTAAACTGATTATCATTCTTCTACTTCGCGAGCCTTTGAGGATAAGGTGGAGGCAGTCTTGGCAAAGGAGCCTTGGCTTTTGGCACAACTAGCTCCGGCATGTCAATTATGTGTTCCCTAGACGAGTTCAAATCATTTTGGGTTTCCACCTCGACTTCTTCAATATCAATCCTCACTTCATTGTTCACATTTTCATCAAGCACATCTTCAACTACCAAAGGAACTTCGTCATCTTGCAACTCAACATCATCATCCACAACTTGCTTTTGCTTAGAGGCATTTACATCACCGCTTCTCCCACTTCTTGTTGTGACCACCATAACATGATTGTTCCCACCCTTTGGGTTCACTACCGTATCACTTGGTAGAGCACCCTTCGGGAGAGTATTTAATGACTGAGAGATTTGGCCTAATTGCACCTCCAAGTTTCGGATAGAGGTGTTGTGAGAAGCTAATTGTGCATCCGAATCTGCATTCCTCTTCATCATCTGCTCGATCATCATGTCAATTCTACCCATATCATTACTAGAAGAACTAGGACCTTGAGAAGGGAAAGGGGGTGGATTGTTCGGTTGTTGGTGCATTGGGGGCGTTTTAAAGCCTTGTCCTTGGTTGCCTTGGTTTCTATTGTTGTTCCACCTCCTTGATTGTTGTTGCCCCAGTTGTTGTTATTTCCATTCCAATTGCTTTGGTTGTTGTTCTGATTACCCCAATTGTTGTTTTGGTTGTTGTTCCAATTGCCACCACTTTGTTGTTGATTGCCCCAATTTCCTTGGGGTCGCCATTGTTGGTTAGAAGAGTTGCCTCTATTGCCTTGATAGTTGTTGACATATTGTACCTCTTCACTTTGGTCATCATAACCATCATATTCATCAACAAATTGCTCAGAATTTCCTATATTTTGTTTCCTCCTTTGCCTTCTCTTGTTGATAAGTATACTAACACCCTCTATGGCATTCACTTGGCGAGGATTATGAACTTGTTGCAATTGTGCCTTAGCCAATTGATTCATCGTAGTAGTAAGCTCAGCTATCGTTTTCCCGTGATCATGTAATTCCTTGTGCAAATGGATAACCGTAGGGTCATCTTGAGGCACATTTGTTCTACATTGCTATGCTGAAGAAGTATCCGCCATTTCATCAAGTACATCACATGCCTCCTCATAAGAAAGCTTCATAAAATTGCCCCCGACCAATTGGTTAACAATGCATTGATTTGTAGTATTTATGCCCCGGTAGAAGGTTTGTTGGATCATGGCCTCGGTCATATCATTATTTGGGCACTCCTTCACCATCGTTCTATACCTCTCCCAAATCTCATGCAAAGGTTCCGTTGGCTCTTACTTGAAGGCTAATAATTCATCTCGAAGTGCCGCCATATGACTAGGAGAGAAGAATTTGGCAATAAACTTATCCGCCAACTCATCCCAATTTGTGATGGAATGGTTGGGGAGTCTCTCGAGCCAATCCAATGCCTTTCCCCGAAGTGAGAACGGGAAAAGTCTCAATCTCAGCGCGTCCTCAGACACATTCGTCTGTTTGCTCCCCCAGCATGTATCTACGAACCCCTTGAGATATTTGTAGGCATTTTGATTTGCAGCGCCCGTGAATTACCTACGCTGCTCAAGTAAGGTCAACATCACATTGGTTGTCTAAAAGTTGCCCACCCGAATTCGGGGGGGACAATAGCACTTGCGTATCCCTGGTTCGGTAATACTCTAGGAGCCACTCTTGGAGAAACCGGGGGAGGGTCTGGAATATTGTCATTTTGATTAGCATTGGCATTCCGGCCTCTCCGTTGAAATTGAGGTGCAAGAGGCACCTCATCTTGCTCAAGATCATCTACCTCCTCCCCTGCTATCACATTTCCAAGAGGATCATTAGCGTTATTTAAAGCCATATTGGTATCTGAGTAATGACACAAACAAGTAAGTAACAAAGAAAGAAAGAAGAACAATACATAAAACTAACTAAATAGATAGCCAAAATTGTTAGCTCCCCGGCAACGGCGCCAAAAAGTGATCGCAGCCTACTCCACACTACTAAAAAGTAGGAAGAGAGGGTCGCAATAGCTTTTACCCTATATGAGGGTCGGGATCGATTTCCACAGGGAGATAGAAATGGAGTCGAGTATCTATCTAGACTAGAGTCGTGTAATTGTTCCAAATGTCACTTCCAAACATCTTTTGATTTTTCTTTAACAAACTAATATTATCAACTACTAATTAGAACTAAATTATGCTAATGAGAAAATTGCTAGTGTTGTATCTAATGGGAAGAAAGGCACTAGGGTAGTGACTTTCACCTAGGTGGCTAATTAACGGGTAAATGCTTCTAAGGTTTGATTGAAATGATTGGGGAAATATGCTATAACCATTGCAAAATTTTACCCACTCTCACACCTCTTGGTAGAGAGAGTGATTTTGCCCAATTGACTCTCTCGAGACCAAATGGGTAGGCAAATTAGCTCAAGCAGGTAGGGTTCAAGTTGGGTAATTACTCTCTCGAGGTTTAACCCTTTAATTGGGACTATCAATTCTCTTGAGTCCATCCCAATTCCTTGTTGGGTCAATTTTGGAGACTTAGGCTCTCTTTTTCAAGAAGAGCCAAGTCAACTTAGTACAAACCAGTGTTTGCAACCACCAATTCATAAATTAAACCATAAAATTGACCCAAATAGCAAACACCCATAGTCAATCTAACCCTAGATGGCAACTCCCATCAATTACCCACACTAGGGTTTAGCCACAACCTTAGATAATGGGTTTAGCTACTCACGCTTGAAGAAGAAAATAGAGAAATAGATGAAGAACAAGGCATAATAATTAATTGCTAAAGTAAATACAAAGTTTCAATGATAAAAACTAAGTAAAAAT